CCCCAAAACCCCAAAACCCCTAACCTAATAAATTTATCGAATTGGCATTTTTAGTTTAAAAACTTGCATTAAAATAATAAAATACTATAATTGTCAAATGTAGTCATTTACGAATGAATTAGAAGCTTCTGAGAAGAAACAAAAAGATGCTTTGCTCATCAAGACTTCTTGGCAAAACAAGTTGTTCAAGCATGATATAACCAATAAGATGGTCTAGAAAATCATAACCATTGAAAGTTAGCATCCTTTCTTATAGGGATCTAAACTTCTAGAAAATAAACTGCCTAAATCCTATAGAATCGACTATGAGAAGTATTTGAAATTAAAAACCAGGGGGCTTAGTGTTTAGAATGGATATAGAAATATCTAGACATCAAAAGAATTCAAACGTGGATGCTGTTAGAATAAACAATAAAAGTTAAATGACTTTTTAATTGAAAAAGATTGGGATTATAGAGAAAAATTTAGAGAAATAGATTCATCTTTAGAGGAGAGAAACGAGTTGATAAATACAACTTAAGTTGAGAGGTTTATCAAAGACTGCTTTAATAGAATAAACGAACCACCTCCACGAGACCCAATGATGAGGCCGTCAGATCTATTTAGAATGAAGAAGAAAAGCATATAATTAGGCATAAGAACTCCTTCTGCAAGAAACAGAGATAAAAAGGAGTTATTCGAAGCAATATAAAAAGTTAGATACGGAGAATTGTTTTCAGCATCACAAAAGTAGCCAAAGATTATAAGTGAAAAACTAGCGAAACTCAAAGATGCAGAAAAAACATTAGTAATAGAAGATATGATTGATTACTTAGATTAAGATCTGACTCAATTTAAGAAAAAGTTGAGAACAGAAACTAGAACGTAGTTTCAAACACATACACCATTAAGAAAATAGCTGAATCTGCCTGTCATTAACTACGAATAATCAGCTTCTCCTTCACAAAGTTATTTGAGTCCGAGAATTTAAAAATAGATTTAATACAGTGAAAGTTTAAAATACAAGAGATACAGGTAAGCATCTGTTTCCTCTAAATTCAGGCGACTATGATGTTAATCTTAATTTCATAAATCTCCATTCTTAGTCTAAAATTTCAACATTGGGGTTTTGGGGTTTTGGGGTTTTGGGG